CGCCGGACGCCGCGGTTGCCGAGCGATAGCGAGTGGAGCTGCTGCGCGTGAGCCGCGCGGCGCAGCGCGTCGCGAGACAGCCCCCTCGCGGCCTAGGAAGCGCAAGACGAACCGGGGAAACTTAGCGGCGGCCCCCGCGAGGATGGAGCCCGACATCGCCATGCAAGACAAGCGCAGGGAAGGCACAATGATTGACGCTTGAGCATTTAAAGACGGGTTAGCCATCCGACAACGGCGCGAACCCATAACCAAAATGAGCTCGCCTAGAGGCATCGGAGCGACCCCCCCCCCCCCCCCGAGCGCCGAGCAACGAGAGACGAGCGCGCATGGGGCATGGGGGCGCAGAGAAGATTGAAACTCGACCAGCAGAGAAAAACGTGAGATGGAGCTACGACGATCATGGGCCGGATGGGATGATATTCGCGCCATCTCCGGAGGCGATGACGACGAGCGACCAGCCGACGTTTTGCCGCCGGGGTCAGTGACGGCGAAATTGAAGGCGGAGGATGCCGGGGGCGGTGAGAGGGCCGGAAAGGTTTGGCATAAGATGTGGATGAGGAGATGCTGAGCGAGGGCTTTGAGATCGTGGCCAGTAAGAGCCGGGCGGCGACGGGGGCGCAAATGGGCATTTTCCCGGGCGCGCAGGCGAAGCAGAGGATGATTTGCACGAGGGTGACGCGCGCGCCAGGTTAACCGCGATGGGGTCTGACTCCAGAGTTGTGGAGGGTGGATTCGGTGCCGCTTTGGATGCCACTAAACAGGACAATCAATTCGGAACGGCGGTGAGGTCACGTGAGGAAGGCCAGCGCAGTCGGCAATCGCATGCTTCCGAGGTCAACTCACCGGCGCGGGGTGCTGGCATGGCGTGTGAAAGGGTATTGGTGCCAGGGTGAGCTAAACTTAGCTACGTGCGATGAGTATGATAATCTTTGAGATTTAAAGCGAGGAGCTGCGAGCGAAAGCAAATGCGCTATTTCAGAGCAAAGCGCCCATACTGTTAATCGCAAGTGCAATGCGCGCAGCCTTCAGCAAGCAACACGCATTCAATTCGGAATTCGTTGGATATCACACTACCAGACTGCATGCTTCAAATTCGCGTTGGAACGACGCGAGGTCCAGAAACAACGGGCTATCTCTCTTTTTTGAACGCCTTGCGGGGGTCTCAAGCTAGACCTCATTGCCAGCGCAGATATTGTTCAAGCGCGACGGGGTGCAGACATAAGACGGCGGTTCGTGCTGCCGCGACTTCTAAGCGGGTTGCATATGGCTACGTGGTGACATCGAAGAGACCCACGCGTCCTTGGACCAACAGCACCCATATTGGAAGGGCCCTCGGCGCGAAATTGCAGGGCCAGCCTTGGCGCGTCGACTTAACCAGGGGAGGCAGAACGGGGACAGGGGCATGTCCAGACCGACCGTGTCGAGCTATGCATGACGGCTTCGTTAACCAAATGACGCGCGGTGACCGATTGGGGCGCTCATTCGGGGCCCGCGATCATGGGGTCAATGAGTGAAAATGAGGAAAAGAATGGAAGTGAACGTGGACGGGTGCGACCGACATGAGTGGGGACATGGGCCTGTGTAAACTTGGGCCGATGCGGATTAAAGTGCCTCTCGCCGAATGCTTCTAGAAATTTCAGCGCCAGCGCGGAGTCCATGCGCGCGCGGGATTGCCCCCGGCACGGGCGTCGGGTCGGCCACGCACTCGGTGATAGGGGGGTAAACGAATCTGAGATGCAGGAGCGGAGGCCGAAGAGAGAATTCGGAGGAGGCTTCAGATGAGGCGCGCGCAATATCGTCACCCGATGTACCTACCAGGTTACCCAGGTCATCCGGCCGCATCCGTGGGCCCGTGGAGTATGCCGACGCCGGGGCCGCTTGAGAGTTCCAGGAACATGAGAGGCACGTGGAAGCGCAGATGAAGTGCAACCAGGTAGCCGAGAGGACTTATGCGTAGTCCACCACGAAATGGCCCAGCCCAGGCTTGGGGCGATGCATCATGGGGCGAGCTTGACCAGGAACTCGCGTTAAAAGCTCGGGAGAAGGATGCGGGGCAATTCAGGGTGCGCGAGGTCTACCGACAGAGGTGCCGGGGAGGAGTCATGGGTCGTTATTTGTAAGGCATCCATAGGTACGAGGTGCATAGATGTCAACGAGTGAGACGAGGGCAATCCCGAGTACCGATCCCGGCTGGCGGCGCAGCAAGTTGAGCACAACCCCAAGGGCAAATTCGTACTTGCAGGCGCGCCTCGATTGGAATACGTACAAATTGCTCCCCATGGCCGTCGCCGAGGGGACATGGCGCGACCGCGGGGAGTGCGACAAGGGACTCATGCGGGGACTCATTTCGGCTACGCGTAAGAGTGACCCTTGGCCAGAGTAACCTTTAGTGTTGGCCCTAATTGGGTCGGACAGATTTTCTTGCGGAGTGCGCTCGGCCTCGCGTCGGCGCACGCTGCGCCAGTTTGCGATCGCATCAGAGCGCGCTTGATTCAGGGTGCGCCCCTCGCAATCGATCGCAACGCACGCACGGCGCATTCTGCCGCGTGCTTCGTGCGAGGGGGGGCCCAGGCGAGCGGGCGACGTGCTCTCCGCTTTGAGACCGGTCTCAAATCGTCCTGGAATTATTTTGGCTAACTTTGATTAATTCTGATTAACTTTGAATAACATGTCGCAGTCCGCGCTTTACAGCTCAATTCTTTACTATTGAAAGTTATTTGCGGCCGCGGGGGGCCAAGTTTCGGCCCGGTTTCGGCCTTGGCGCCGGGCCCGGTCAGACGCCATCGCGATGCGGCCCAGCAGTGCCAGAACATTCCTCGGCGGCGCCCGATTGCGTCTGGCTTCGCAGAGCCGTTGGGCGGGCGTTCTGGGGCGCCCGGGACGAATGGGCTGAGGTCCGCAATTGCCTGCTGGCGCTAGGGATCTGTCGAAGCGCGCCCCGCCGATCGTCGATGCAATCCGACGGCCTCGGCGTGCGCGGTTGCGCCAGGCCCCCGCGGGCCCCTCTGAGGCCGCGCGCCAAAGGGCACTCTTGCCTAGGGTCACTCTCACGTGTCGCCGATCATTGACGAGAGGCGGGCATACTTTTACGCGGGGCCACGGGGGGCGTTTTCATCGGGCTGCCCGAAGAAGATCGCGGGCCAGGCACATGTGGAGATGGTTAAATTCAGCGCACGGCACCCGGGACGTTCCCAGCAACTGGAAAGACTGACATTGTGTGCGACACTGGTCTTGGCAGCAGAGAGCGTCTCCGCGTGCGCCGAGACACCGGGCGGGGCGAATCCGTTCAACGGGGCATGGAGGTGGTTTCGTTTTTTTTTTTCCCCGGGCGACGGTGTCGACCTTGAGCTCGAAGGGTAATAGGACATTCGAGGTCGGAGTTCGCGGCCGACTCGAACTTGGGCCAGAGGGCCTGAGGGCAATCGCGAGTCTCAACCGGACTGTCGAATGGAACAGGGGCCATCTATGGCACGGGGCAGACCGAAGGCTTGCAGAGATATGCGTGGAATAATGCGGCCTGGGGCGGCGCGGAGCGAGGCGCGGGGTGCCCGGGGATATCGAACGCGCGGGCAGGAACAGGAGGAAGCATTTCCCAGCCGCGAAGTTAATACATGCCCAGCTTTGGCGGCCAGAGTCAAAGATTGCCCACCGGGCCCTTCAGATGCAGAGTTCGGTCAAGGGGCTTGCGCGCTCCATGTCAGCTCCAGCCAGAGGGCGGCATGGGCGGTATGACTAACATGTGCGAGTGCTTCAAGACTTCCGACGCGTTCGGGCGTCAGTAGTCCTTCGAGAATGCCCATCGGGAGTTAACCGCGTGGACTGACGCCGACTTTGTTGGGGGTAAGAACATCATGTACGTCAATAAGTGGAGGGGGGTTGTGTGGGGGTTGCATATGAGAAAGCCGTGGAGTTCGATTCATAGTGTCGTAGCGTTTCTGTCTGGAGAAGCAGAGTATTGCGGAATGGTGCACGGTGGATTATTTGTGTTAGGCCTACAAGAAGTCGTTGAATATTTCGATGTCGATTGCGGCGTCGCGTTAAGGAGTGATGCTAGTGCGGCCATTGCTATTGCGAGCCGGCGAGGAGTAGGTAAACTCAGACACATCGAAGTTCGCCAACCACTCGTCGCAGGAGAGGGTACGACGAGGATAGATCAAAGTGATCAGGGTAGGAACCCATGATAATATTGCAGACCCTTTCGCCAATTATGTTGGCAGGGACGACGTGTCCAGGCACATGCGAGGTACCAAAGAACACATTGATAGAGGGAGGCATGAACTAGCCGGAATGTTAGCTTAATCCATCTCTGGGTTATCATCGAATGCCGATTTGGCGGGGTGCTGGTTACAGGATCACTTGAGATCCAGGTGCCCGTGCACGCGCAATCTACAATATGTTGATCTTTCTGCGTGGCTTGGTGTTTTGCGACACCTACACTTGGTGTGTCGCGGGTTAGGGGGGGCCCAGCACGCTTAAGACCAGGTCGTTGTCACCTTCTACCTGCGCCAGTTACGCCTTCAATTCCTGTGCGCGTTCAGATTTGCCACAGGGCGGTGTTTATTTTTTCACAGTCGTAATCATATATGGTCTTTCGTTTGCAAGTGTTTATTACTTACTTCAATTATGCCCGATCCAATTCGATATGTCTATATACATATACATATACATATACATATACATAGACATATACATATACATATACATAAACATAGCACAATGACATTATACATACATCTTCCTATATATATATGTGTATATATATGTATATATATGTGTGTGTGTGTGTTCCTCACCTGTCGCCCCGTTGGGCAATATTGGCCGATTGGGGGAATGTTCGAACATGGCCATGCAACAGGGAGAGGAGCATCGCCGCACGTTCCGATGTCAAGTGTTCGCATTGCCGTTGGAATCTGGCTCCATTGCAGTTCGCCTTGTTCGCAATAGGCTCTTACCTAGTCGTATATGGTGAGGGGCTGGGAGAGAAAGGGAAGGAAAGGGAGGGGCGTGTCTACGTCATCGTTTTCCTGGGCGTCAACGGCGTTGGGAAGTCCACCAACTTGGCCAAGGCTGGGCTTCGGCGCCTCTTGCGGGCAGGGGACCGGCGGTGCGACCGTGGCGTTCCAGTTCGTGCTGGAAGTTTTGGGCGCGAGGGGCTGGATGATGGAGGGGCATGAGCAGCCACGCGGGGGAGGACGAGGAGGACTGGGAAGAAAACTGAAGCGGAGGAGGAGGAATCTATGCGGGCGCCAGCCAGAATTTCGGGCGATGTGAACCAAATTGGAGATGGCGCGGTCGCCGCAAAACACGGGATCTGGCCACACATGGGGTTTTTGATGCGCCGCAGACACTTGTGTTTTCCAGAACAGACGTTGACAATTCATTTCCGCGCGGATGAAAAATGACGGGCCGCAGTAGTTTGAATCGTAACAGTCGTCGCAAGCGGTCTAGCAGCAGCAGTGTTAGTAGTCCAGTAAGTAATCGTATTCGTATAGTAACATAAGTGGTTGTAGTAGAAGTAGCGGAAATAGTGTTAGTAATAGCAGTAGTAGTAGTAGTAGTAGTAGTAGTAGTAGTAGTAGTAGTAGTAGTAGTAGTAGTAGTAGTAGTAGTAGTAGTAGTAGTAATAGTAGTAGTAGTAGTCGTAGTCGTAGTCGTAGTCGTAGTCGTAGTATTATTATTAGTAGTAGTAGTAGTAGTAGTAGTAGTAGTAGTAGTAGTAGTAGTAGTAGTAGTAGTAGTAGTAGTAGTAGTAGTAGTAGTAGTAGTAG